ATGGAGCTGGAGGGGTGCTGGTGTGGAGGAGGGCTTGGCTTCAGAAGAAAGGAAGGCGCTGGAAGCTGAGGCTGGGCAAGGAAGACAGTGGAAGCGGAGGGGAGGGACTGACGCTGTGGGAGGTGTGGGAGGTATGGGAGGTGGGCCGGCCTCGTGGCAGATGGATGTCGGGCTGGAGACTGGCCAGGAGGGCCCTGGAGCCCAGCTGTGACTCTGTGACAAGGCCCTGGGCCTCCCCTCCCTGGTCAGGCTGGTCATGGAACACAGGCATATGGGGGGATCGGTAGGGCTGACCAGGGCCACAAAGAAGGGGTGGAGGCAGCCGTGAAGGAGAAGACATGATGGGGGATGATGCGGAGAGTCTCAAGAGAGGTGGGGAGGAGGGGCAGGTGGGAGGGTGGGCGTGGTCAGAGGGTTTGCCCAAAGACAGGGGCCACTCAGGGTCTGAATGGACAGGAATGCAAGGTGAGGCTGGATAGGAGGGTCAGAGAGCGCGCCGAGGGTGCTGGTGTGTGCAAAGTCATGTCTGGGAGGGGCCAGCTGGGGCGCAGGGCAGCCAGGAATGCTGAGTAGCTGAATGACTGGCTCCAAAGTTCCAGGGAGAGGAAGGCTTGGGCTTGGGAACCACAAGAGCCCGTTTCCTCGCTACTCAGATGACGGCACTCCTCAGCTGCCCTCACAGAGCTCACTGTAGCGTGAGGGGGGCTGCCTGCCAGGGCTCGTGACCCAGGCTCTCGTAACACCTCCTTCAAGGAGACATCATTGCGCCCATTTTACAGATGAGCAAGCAAGCCTCCAGACGGCCTGCCTGGGAGGGTAAGCAGTGGAGCTGGGCACATTCTCTTACACGTGTGCTGCCCCCAAGGACTTTCAGCATCTCAGGACCCCCACAGAATGGCTTCAGGGGGGCTGGTTGTTACTGACCATCTGCAGGTGTTCCCACAGGTCCAGGTAGGTGGTGTTCTGATAGGCAAAGGCATGCAAGTAGGACTGTGGAAAGACAGGGCACGGTGAGGGTAAAGCTGCTGCCCCAGGCTCTACCACTCAGCCTCTGTGGTAGGCCGGGGCTTGGAGGAAACACCTCCCACCCTATGGCTGCCCAAGGGTACTCACCGCCAGGCCCTTCCTGAACAGGTCCTCAGTCAGGAACTCAGAAAGCATCCTGATGACCGAGGCTCCCTGGTGGAGGAGAGGGGGCTCAGAAGGCTGCGCCGAGCCAGCAGGAGACCCTGTGTCCCCATAGGGCTGGGACAGGTGCTCCCGGAGCCCCCGGCTTCGGTGGGCCCCTGTGGGCTGAGACCCCACCTCCCTTCCCATGACCCCTACTATCTCAGGACCAGCACGGGGGCTGGGCAGCACCTTGCTGTAGGAGATGGAGTCAAACATCTCGCTGATCTGGGCGGGTGTGTTGACCTCCTCGGCAGGGGTGGTCAGGGGGTGGGAGGAGGCCAGCGCGTCCACAGCCATCACATGGTACAAATCGTTCGGCACCATGAGGTCTTTCTGCAAATCCCCAGCAGCCATCAGGAGACTGGCCTGGGAGGGGGTGACCCAGGTCTTCCCCCATCCCAGACCCCAGAGGTCCCTGGGCAGCGGGCTCACCAGGTTCCAGGTGGGCTCTGCATAGTCAGCACCCAGGTACTCCACGTAGGAGGCAAAGCCCTCGTTCAGCCAAAGATCATTCCACCAGGCCAGGGTCACCAGGTTCCCAAACCACTGTGGGGGAGGGGAGGTCAGCCCGGCAAGCCACTCACGCCTTGCGGTCACTAACGGCACCAGAGCTACCCTTCACCGAGTGTTCCCAGTGTGCCAGTCTCGAGCTCAGCTTCAGCGGCATCATCATGACTCCTCCCTGACACCCTGCCAGGTGGAACTCTTCCCTTCTCAGCTGCCAAGGACGGAGCCACAACTTTTGCCGTCTCCTCCCAGAGCCCCCCTCGTTCTTTGTCTGCACTCCCCATGATTGGGGGGCTACCTGGTGGGCCAGCTCGTGAGCAATCACAGTGACAACCCGCTCTTTGTTGCTGCTGGAGGAGGCCTGTGGGTCAAACAGCAGCGAGTTCTCCCGGTAGGTCACCAGCCCCCAGTTCTCCATGGCACCGGCGTTGAAGTCGGGCAAGGCAACCTGGTCTGGGGAGTCCAGGCTGTTGGTGGGATGGCCTTGGGCTATGGGGGGAGCCCCATCCGCTTCCCCCCAATGAGAGGTACCTCACTCACCAGATTTTGGGAGTGGGTAGGGTGTATCAAAATGATTGGCAAAGAAGTTTAGGATGGGACCTGTCACGTTCAGGGCATAACTGCCATGGTTCTCTGCAGTTGCATTAGGCCGAGCCCAGATCCGGACCTGCAAAGAGGACAGAGGTAGGTCAGGGGCCCTACTTGGGTCCTGGTGCAGGTGGGCTGAGTCCCAAAGCCTGGCAGGCTGGGGGACCAACTAGGTTAAACTGGGAGGCTTGGTCAGCGGAGGAGAGGGCGGGGGTGTCTCTTCAGAGCCTTGAGTCACAGGCAGGGGCCTTGGGGGAATAACAATAGCCATAGACACCATCTGTCTGGCACCCAGGAGTTGGGAACTCCCTTCGTGAGGAGGGTCCCACTTTTCAGATGCAGAGACGGAGGGTCAGAGAACCTAAGGCACTTGCCCAAGATCACTCAGAACTGGGATTCAAACACTGCCTAGCAACTCAGGGGCTGGGACAAGGATGAGGATAAATAGGAATATCTCCCAGGCCAGGACCAATCCTGAGGAAGGATAGGTGGCCTCAGCTCCATACCTGGACGTTGTTGGGTGCCATTGTCTCCACACTCGTGAACTCGCTCACGATGTAGGCCAGAAGGTATGTGGACATTACAGGCGTGGTTTTGAACTCAGTGACCCTCCAGTTGGGGTCTTCTGGAAACGGGACACTGGGACCTGGGCAGGGAGCACGCAGGCATGTGGGGTTGTCTCCTCTCCCTGCCCTGTGCCCCAGCCCTGGGGGTCTGCTTTCTGAGGATGTGTGGCCCCAGCCAGACCTGCTCACCTTTAGGCGGCATGTTGGACAGGGCCGTGAGTTCCTTGGGGTAGATGAGGGTGATGTTAAATGTGGCCTTCATGGCCGGCTCGTCAAAGCACGGGAAGGATTTCCGGGCATCTGTAGACTGCATCTGTGTCGTGGCCACCACCCTGCCCGAAGCGGGGGTTAGAGGGTGTGCCAGCTTAATGCCTGTGCCCGTGTGGGTGTGCGGGGCTGGGGTTGTAGGGTGTTGCTGGGTGTGCAGGGACGGGGTGCACAGATGCTGCCTGGCCTAATCCCTGCCCTCCGCACCTCCCCCAGGCCACCTCTAGGCCGACAGGCCAGCTGACGTGGGAGAGCAGAGCTCCTTCTGGACTCAGGGTCAAAATCCTGGCAGGCTCCATCCCTGTATTGGCTGGGAAACCTTGGCAAATTTCTTTCCTCAGAGCCTGTTTTCCTATCTATACAAGGGGCACTTTCATCTCTCATCCCTACTCCCTAATAAAGTATAGAGGAGCCCTCCGGGAAAGGGTCGATTGTCTTAGTAGCTGCTCTACCGGAGCTGCAGATAGAGTGATGGGCCAGCCAAGGACTCCCGAAGGTTCAAAGGCCCCGAATCCAAGCCCTTCCTTGGCTCCCAGGGTCCAGCTCTGCCTCAGCACCTAGGATCTGCCCCCACCCAGCAGACCCAGCTCTGACTTACTTTTTGACATTGCCTTCCATGTACTCGCTGCGGTAGAAGCCTGCCAGGTCGTCGGCCAGCTCCCCCTGAAATTCACTCTCCATCTCATACATTCTGCCTGCCTCCAGCCAGCCCTTGAGGTGTACCACCAGATACTCCGTGGGCTCTACCAGCTCGGTCCTGTCGATGTCGGGGGCCGAGAAGGCCCCCACGCCCCGCAGGACCACCATGTGCCCCTGGATTGTGGTGTAGTTGAGCTTCTTGCTATGGATGATGATGACGTCAGTGCGGGCCTTGCAGATGAAGCGGACGATGCTTCTGCCCTTGAAGATATACAGGCCATTCTCATTGGGAGTGAGGTAGGGCCTCAGTGTCACTTTGTAGGAGTCGGGCAACAGTGTCGTGGGTAGGCGGTATCGGTTCCACGGCTTGCTCTGGTCCAAGGTGGTGGCCGCAGTGATGGTGGTCGCGGGGCTCGTAGGGGCCACGGTGGTGGCGTACCCGGCATTCTTGTTCTTCTCCTGGGCATACAGCACAGACAGAGCGATGACAGTGGCTATGGCTGCCACGCCCAGGAGGATGCCCAGGATGCCCAGGGCCTTGGATATGTAGAATCCTTTGGCCATGGTGAGGGTGCGGAGGGAGCTTGGGGAGGCTCAGGACAGGTGGGGAACAGGGCAGCCTCGGGTCAGGCTTATATCCCTGAAGGGGAGGAGCCCCACAGCCTGCAGACTGGGCAAAAATTAACCAGGGCTCAGACAGGCGAAGGTCACCGGACTGGGTGGGAACACACTCTGCCCAGGTTTCAGAGAGGAGATCCAGAAACAGTGTGTGGAGTGCAGCTCAGGGGTACCTGCTGGGAGCAAACTGTCCGGTTACAGGCTGCAGGCTTCCTGGGAGCCCACCGAGGGCTTAAGGGCAGGCATCAGGCTTCACGCCCAGCAGGGAGAGGGAGCGGCCAGGTGGCTTGGATCTGCCTGCAAGCTGAGACAATGGGCACCAGAACAGGAGGATCGAGGTTAGGTCCAGGAGGTTAGAAGGACTTCCCAGGAGCAGGGAGGTGGGAGATGAAGAGAAAGGGAGAGTTGATTTCTGGCTCGGGTCAAGAACACATTGGTTCACCCCTGTGGTTGGATGGATGCCCAGGGCTCCTCAGTGACATGGCCCCAGCCTCCCTTGCATTCTTTCAGAACAGGGAGTTCTTCCAGGTTCCCCTCCCTTTCCCTTCTGCCAAAAACTTTTTCCTCAATTATAAGCTCACTGAGAAGAATGAAATAAGTTGTTTTGCCTTTTCTTTTTTTCCTTTTTTTTAAGAGAGGAGGATGGTGGAGGCTTAACCTCTTCCCAGCCATGACCTTGGGCAGGTAATTTTACCCTTCTGGGACCCCTTTCCTCGTACATAAATAATAGTATTTACTTCTCAGATTTGTTGAACAGATTTAATGAGAAAACATATTAAATACCATATAGTAGAACCTGAAAATCCTTCCCTTCCCTTCTTTCTTACTCAGGGGTCAACCATTCTATCCTTGGTAGAAAGGAAGATATTACTTATCATGCTCAATATAATATGTTCTTACAGGAATATGATGTTCATCGTCACCCTTCCCATCTGCCAGTCCAGTTCCTCAGACCTCAACATCACCTGACCCTTACCCCAACATCCAACTCACCCTGCCCCCCAGTCTCACCATGTCCTTGGTCAAAGCCACTGTCATTGTTTATGTGGGCACTGCTGGACCCTCATGACTCCTCACTTCCACTTGGGCCCCCTCAAACTAGTTTGCTACACAAATTAGATCATTTTGTACCACTGCTGAAAACCTTCCCTTTGCTCTTGGAATTCAGACCAAATCTTCTAAAGACACCCACAAGTTCAAGTGCTATCAGCTGGCCCACTTCCCACCCTCATTCTCACCACACTCCCCTCTGTTGCGGAACTCCAGCCACTCTGGCCTTCACCCAGACCCTCTACCACAGGACCTTCGCATGTGCAGTTCCCTCTGTTTGGATCATCTTCTCCCCCTTCTTGCCCCAGTTACTTCCTATTTATCCTTCAAGTCTTTCTCAGAGAAGACACCCTGACCTCCGTGACTAGGTCAGGCCCCTTAGAACCACAAACCTCTTCTTCAAAGCCCTATAACTCAGCACAATTTTCCATTTGATCTGTGTGGTGATGACTTGAGTGTTGCCTGTCTCCCCCACCAACGGCAGGCCCCATAAGAGCAGGTCCTTGCTGCTTCTCCTCACTGGCACTAGGCACGGTGCCTGGCACATAGTAGTTGCTCAATACATATTTGCCGAGTGAATGCACACAGGCGTGAATGGGTGCATGGATGAATGAGTGAGTCAATTCAGGCGTCACTCCTTATTGGAGTCTTTGCAGCCCATCTCCACTCCTGTCTCCACTCCCACTTAGCCCTGGGAGAATTGTCTACCTCCTTCTCTGAGCCCTCCTCCAACCATGGCAGACAGGCAAGACTCTTGCTAGGGCCAAATGCATCTCAGGGCCCACGCTTGTCTCCTCCCTCATCTGGTCTGTCAGCTCCTCATTCATTGGCCACTCCCTGCCCCGTCTTGGGCCAGCAACCCGTGAGCCCACCTGGAGGCTTGGTAAACAAATGCATGCATGGACGGTAAGTGTTCATAGGTTAATTCATTCAGGCATCCCTGTACAGGGTCTTCAGGGGAATCCTGGGTGCCCATCTTTGGGCTCAAGGGTGCTCTGAGCCGTCAGCACTTCCCTCTTTCTCTCTAGAGACCTGCCCCCCAGGGCGCTGGTCTGGACCGTTTGGACTTCCCATTGCAGTGACCTACAGCCACCCCTATTAGGCCTGGGCTGATGGCCAAGGGGCAAGAGTGGGAAGCCAAGTACCGAGGGAGGGCTCCAACTTGGGCATGGTGACAGAGGGAGCAGCAGCCCCTGAGGGTGACTCAGAGTGAGAAGTATGTGCTTCCAGTCTCCCTTCATCAGGGCTAGAATTTGCCAAGGAAAGCCATCTCTGTTGTACCCCTGAAGGATGGCACCCAGGGGTCATGCATCCCCTTGCAACAAGTTTCACTCTGTAGGACCTGCAGCCCTCTCCCACCTTTGCAGCAAAAAGACACATAAGCCTGATTGGCCTAATCTCCACTCCAAACAAAGAAAGAGGCCCTGCCTGGCCCATCATGGCCTTTTCCTGTTTGCTTTGGACACAGCCCGTGGGCCCAGCTGGCTGGGATCTTTACCCTTTTGGAAAGGGCCTCTGGTCTTCAAAGCTGGCACAGCAGGCAGCCCATTGCCCTGTAATGAGAGGTCCCTGTTCTGGGTCCTGTGCCAGCCCAGGCTGGGGCACATAGAAGGGCATGCTCCACAGCCCCCACATTCTCTGATAATAAAAAGGGATCCCTCTTCCAGCCCCCTGCCAAGGCCCGGGCATGGCCATCTCTACACCCCACTGGGTAGCAGTAACCATGCTCTTCTCCCCTGTCACCCAACGTGCCCACACACCTTGGCAGAGGGATCGTCCTCTCCTGCTTGAACCTGGTCTCTGCTCCTCACTGCTTGTGGAATGAAACCTCAGCTCTGGCTTGAGCCTGAAAACCTTCTGTGGACTTGACCCTCTGGCCTCTCCTCTTTCCAATGCCCGATGTGGCTCCAGTTGTGGGTATTTCCCCAAACTCCCTGGACTTCTTCATACCTCTGTGCCTTTACCCATCCTGTTTCCACTGCCAGGAATGACTTTCCTCTCCCTCCTGTCAAACTCATACTCATCTTTCAAAGCCCAGCTCAAACGTCACTGCCTTCTCATGAACAGGCAGCCCCTCTCCCCCGGGTGCTTCCCTGGCCTCTGGTTCACACCTCTATCACAGCACTTAAGGCCATCTATGTGTTCAAAAGCTTCTCACTAGACCTAGGCACCTCAAGGGAAGCCTCTGTGACTTTGTACACCCCTCCATGCCTAGCACAGGGCAGAAGCTCAACGCTGGCTAAATGAATGACAATGTCCACAATCCTTGCCTTGGCTTATAGGTCTAGTGTCATCTAGCCTCCAATGATTCTCTGGTCTCATCTCAAGCCTTCTCCCCCTGTTGCTCTGCCCCACGGGCCTCTTTTGGTTTCTCAAGCCCACCATCTCTTCCTTCCTCCACCCCCACTCCACCCTCACCCTCACCTCACCCTCACCCCAAGCTTCTCTTTGGGGCTGGACAGCTTCTGTCTTTCCTTCACATACCACCCACTCATCCTGGAAGCTCACTTCAGCGATGCTATCCCAGGGCAGCTCTCCCAGCACCCCCAAGACTCATGAGGATGGTATCCTCCATACCAGGCAAGCACCCAGTACACAGCAGGCAGGTAGCACATGCTTGCGAAATGGAGCAGCCATAAGAAAACGAGAGGCAGTGGTTAAAGACCGAACTCGGCGTTAATTCAGACCCTGGATCCTCGGCACAGATTTCCCCTCTATGCCTCACGTTCTTTCTTGGGCTCCTAGATTGTGCATACAAACCACTTTTGTGAGTTTTGCCATATCTGTGATCTTCCTGTACATTATTTAGTTAACATTTTTCTTTAAATAAATTCACTACTTACTCTCCTTCTGAGCAATAATGACCAAGAAGTCATGGTTAGATGTATTACATTATATTTTTTCTGATACACATTTCAGTTTATGACTATTGATTTTAAAATTATTCATCTAGGTAGCCACTAAAATTATCTTGTTTAGCTGCACTCACTTGGGGAATCACTGCTCCACCTTGTATGATTCTGGGGTGGCATCACCTGCAGACTGTCTTTGGAGTGGAAGATTTCTGCAGGCGAGCAGAATGTGTGCATTCCTTTTACCATTCATTTCTTGATGGGGGAGAAGCTGAGTACCCAGCCCCGGTCTCAACCAAAGTAGCCTTCCCATCTATGGGTTTATTTATTTCTGCCCTGCCTATGTTTTGGTCCGGGAACAAAAGTTCTAAATTAAAAAAAAAAAAAAAATTAAGGTTGACAACAACCATGTTAGAGAATATTTGAGGCATAGCCACTCGTGTAGAAGACATTAATTGAATGGGAAAAGTCAGCTTTATCTCAGATATGGGGGTACAAGTTGCCTTGAATTCAAACATGACAACGCCAGGAGCCTGGGAGGGGCTGTAGTGGGGAAAGCCACTATCAGCAGTCAGGCAAAAAACTGTGCAGTCCCGGCTCCCTCACAGATCGCTGGGTCTTGGGGTAAGCTGCTGCTCATGCTCACTCAACACCTCCCCGCACTATCCTCCCCAGCTGCAGGGCTGGGCAGGCTGGGAGCTATGGAACAACCTGAAGCCCATCTGTCTGCTCTGAAGGAGCAGCGAGTTAGGAGCAGGGATGAGGCTGTGGCCCCAGTGCAGGGCACATTCTTGCCCCTCCGGCCCCTGGCCTTCTCCCAGACTTCTGAGGTCTCCACCCACAGCTGCGTGAAGCTGGGCCTGGGCCAGCCCCCAGGGTGCTTCCTCTGGGAGCCTTGGACATTGTCCATCCTGTGAGAACTGCAGAAGGCCCTAATGGGAAGTCAGCTCCTGTTTTGGCCTCTGGAGCCCAATGCAAGGGCACTCAGGAGCGAAGGAGCAGAAGGGGCCCTCTTGGAGTTGGGGAAGTACACCAGCTTCGGAAGGG